GCATCAAGCCCTAAAGACTTCATACTAAGCACGATGTTCACCAGAATTGACAATATTTTGATAGAAATGCGACTGAAAGTCGAAAGTTATTGACATGTATAAAATTTACGTCGAGAAAACTATAAATTTTTTAAATGCTTCTGTATTCGGCCACATAAAAGCGAAAAAATTACAGCTTAAACAGATATTGTAAAATAAATGTTTTCCCATTTAAAAGAAGGTTTAACTGCAGCTGTGAAAACAAGTCACGAATATATTCTCTACCCATTTGTGTCATGCATTTTCCACTGATATAAATATTGTAAACAAAGTAAAAGTTTGTGTTTAAAAACACTTTTTTCAAGCATATTATCGTGAAACGACAAGAAAAAATACAAAAATATAAAAATAACATACCTTTTTCATTGTCCTTTTAGTAGAAAAAATTTGATTAAATCAAAACAGATTCAATTTTATATGTTTTTGATCGGATCTGAACATGAACCTGTCGTTGTCAGGAGCAGCTGATTTTGTCAAAGCCAAAACGCCAGGCTTAAAAGTTTTTATTCCAAAGCTTTTCTGCTATACCATATTCATGAAAAAAGCATGTCCAGTTTTACTGAAACTATACGTTTTTTTGTGTGTTTCTTGCCAGTTTTCTCGAGTTTTCGTATATTCGCGTTTTTAATATATCTTTCAACTTTTTAATTTTTGTCAGCCTCGCTTTGAAAATACACAACTGCACTGATCTCAAATTAGTTCGCAAGCAACACTGGAATTTTAATTAATTTAAATTTTACATCTGATAAAAAATAAACACGTTATTTACCGGCAGCGTCGGTCCGGATGAGAAAAACTGTGCCCTCGGTCTTGAAAACGTCCCTCGCTCTTCGGTTCGGGCCGTTTTCAAGACCTCGGGCACAGTTTTTCTCATCCGGATCTCGCAGCCGGTAAATAACATATATTTATTAGCCTTCCGGGCACAAGATGAAAGAAAAATGGAATTGCCCCTCGATATGATAACTTTTTTCCCTTCTATCTGCCTGACTATTATAATGACAATTATAATCGCAGATCGACAACTGTCATTCTAAAATGCGCTTTGTCTTCGGTATTTGTGAAAATCCTGTTGCGATCGATGTGTTTTATTAGCTGATGTATCGCCTAAATCAAAGACCCATAATCAGACAATAGCAAATCGTAGAAATGAAACGACCTTTGTTTCCTGTGTGAATTAATCTCGGTTTCATATTTGACCACTCAAACAAAAATCGAAACTTGTCATCTTCTAAATAATCCCATCGTGTGTCATAACATGATGGTCTGGAAGTCTGTCAAAGTTCACTACGGAGAGCAAATAAACCCTTAGTGATGCATTCTTAAGTCCGAACAGCAATAGTCAGGAATATATTACTTCCGCCATTGCTGTCCAAACTCCAAGGCAATCGTTTGCTGAATAATAATAACATTTAATATCCATCTTTGGTAAAAAAAGTACAATGGATTTACAAGAAGTGCTAAGGTTAAAATTGATAAGAAGAAATTTTACTATTATTTACATCAATGTTGCTAAAAATGTTTATACTAGTTATATATTCTATAAAATTAATTTAGGACTGTTTTAAAAGGGATATAGCTCTAGGTATAAAGGATTGCCGGTGTCTTTTAGTATACGATACAACATATGGTAGATTATTTGTTGTTCTTAGATCGTGTTCATGGGTAAAAGGTTGGGGATAAGTTTATTACATGGGTTGGTCGGATCACTTAGAATTCTTTGGTATTCCTTAACAGTTAGGTGTGCCCTTCTTTGTTCTAGCGTTTCAAAGTTGCACCGAGATGTGCCAAGGATTTTGATGCATCTGTTTTGAATGCTCTCTATTTCATCAATGAGATATTGTGGTAAACCACCCCATATCGGAGCTGCATATTCTAAAACAGGTCTAATCTTGGATTCATAACATGTAATACCGACCTCAGGAGGAGGATTCGCCCTACGGCATTCTCTCAGACTAAACATTCGTTTATTTGCTTTCCTTACAATGTTCTTGACATGACAGTTCCATTTCAAATTGTTTTGATGCCAGACACCCAACAGTTTATGAGAATTTACTCTTTCCACTACCTCGTTTCCAATGACCAATGGTTCTGGTGCCGGTATTGCTGTGTTAAAACATATCCACATATCTTTTGTTTTCTTCGAATTTATCGTCATTTTGTTCCTATTAGACCATTCTTGTACTGCTTCAAGGGCCTCCTGCATATGGCTGGATGAACCTTGTGACAGCACTTCGTCCTGTGTACAATCATCCGCGTATTTGCATATGTTTATAGATAATCCATCTGGGATTGAGTTCTCAATATCGTTAATGTGAATATTAAAAAGAGCGGGGGACATCACAGAACCTTGTGGGACTCCTGCAGGACAAGGTTTGACCTGTGACATATGTTCGTTAGGAGGATAGTTGGCTTGTTAGATATAGTTTTATTAGCGGTTTGATTAGTCGGTCTAGAATTCCGTTTTGAAATGTTTAAAGTAATTAGGTTGGTAGGGTTGCGCCTATTTCGTTTATATCTATAATTACGTGATGAGATTATAACTGGAATATGAGTGCATTTAGGTTATATGGTTTCGTTAGGCGCACTTTTCGAGTAGAAGGCTTCACGGTTTGTATTGTTTTGGGACTATACAACAAACATTGATGGTCGGAGCGACCAACTGGAGGCAGGTGCACCACTTCTTTATATAAATCTGACATCTTCGTTAGTATTTGGTCCAAAACTCTGTTGCCTCTTGTCGGTGCTTTTACAGACTTCTTCAAGTTAAATCTTCTGCATGGTCTACTCAGCTTCATTTGATTGAAGTCTCCCATTATGCATACACCAGCAGACGGGTAATCTCGTAAGACAGAATCAAGTCCCCTAGTAATATACTCAATCAGTTCTCTTTCACTTTCTGCCGACTGCCCTGGGGGGAAGTAGACGCCAACTGCCACTATAACGCTAAAAGGCCTAGGGGTTCTGGGGGGTTTAAGAAGCAGCCATAGGACCTCTCTGTTATCTTCTTCTAAATTTTTTAGACATGTAGTTGGTATACAAGCGTTCACATATGCTAATACACCCCCTCCTGGTGTAAGTCGGTTCCGCCGATAGGTATTGAACATTCTTCCAATGTTTATAGCAGAGTCGGGTATATTTGTATTCAGCCAGGACTCTGTAATCATAATCAAGGAGGGACTGTTCATTTCAACAATAGCGTGTAGATCGTCAACTTTGTTCGAAATGTGACATATGTTCGTTAGGAGGATAGTTGGCATGTTAGATATAGTTTTATTACCGGTTTGATTAGTCGGTCTAGAATTCCGTTTTGAAATGTTTAAAGTAGTTAGGTTGGTAGGGTTGCGCCTATTTCGTTTATATCTATAATTACGTGATGAGATTATAACTGGAATATGAGCCATTATACGTAGGTTGAATATTTCCCAAGATGGGTGCTACTTTTCTTTGACCACATAGTTTGTGTTTCTTTCGATTTCCATGGCTTACAACTCATGTATTTAGGCCAGGAATTATCTTCCTGAAGCAGGGAACTGACGGCCGAAGGAACATGGATCTTAGATGAGATTGTTCCCCTCCGTCGACTTTTGAATATGGAAATATAAGTCGGGATTATATTTCGTTTATTAAGAAAAGATAAGATTTGGCTTTCTTTCACATTCTCGTCTATACCTGTTACGAGAAATTTCTTGGTTTTACTTCTATTTTGTTTGACACCAATAAAGCCATCTAGGTCACTAGACAACTCGTCAATTTCACGTTGTGAATTCTGGGGGCTAGATGTGGGTATTTTGTTCGTTTTAGGCATTGCCATAGATCTACGATTTTTAGAGACAGGAGAAGATGCTGCTACTTTTGCATATGTCACCTGATCTCCTTCCACTTTAGTTTGTTCAGCGCTAATTGAATCATTAGTTGATATAGGACGAGATGCACTAGACATATCGTTCGACAAGTCTATAGGTTCTACTCTTTCAAATGAAGTAGAGGCATTTTATATACAGGTAAGGATCGAGAAAGCAGAACGACAACCTAACGAACACGGTTAATTAATAACTCATTGAAATTTATAATGCTGTCAGAAAAGAAATGAACAATACAAGCAGCATATTGAAGTTTTAAAATAAATTCATCCTGTTTACAACACTGAGTTATATACCCAGATTAAATTTCTAAAGTTTGCTGTAGCTTCCTTTAATACATAATTAAGACTATTCTCAACCATCAATCTCCTGCCATGACTTCCTTAAAATGGTACTAAATCGATACAATCAGATAAATTTATAACCATTTGATTTGGAGGAAATTGTAGCTGTTGTTGCCTACATACAGTACCTATAATAACGGCCAGCTACATTACACAAGTATGGGTAATAGGATGATTTCGAGTGCAATTTGGATAAAACAGGCAACAGTGAGTTTTTCATAGGATGAGTTTCACCTTTGAATTTACTATATGAGTAACTTCTTAAACACGCCCGAATTTATCATCATGATAAATTCGCCGCACATTTTGAATTTATCGTAATAATAAATCCGCGGCACCTAACACTAATAGTAGGGTCAATATAGCACTTGACCCCAAAAAAATTGCAAGCAAACGTTTTATGGTATTTTCCTGCAGTATTGAGTCTTGTGAACAACATATCAAAAGTTTAGAAAAATTTAGGTCACAGAAAGAGTAAAAATGTGACGTCATAAACAAGATGGCCGCCAAATCATAATATTTGTTATATCTCGCTTCATATTTGACATAGGGTGACAATATTGGTGTCTAGCTATAGGTTTTAGGGGTCAAGGAATCCATCAAGTCTATTCATGAGGTTGTAGGGGAATTGCTTCATGGGAAATCCAAGATGGCCGCCACGACAGCCCCAAGCTTACAGTTGTGGTGTCTATCGATAGGTTTTATTTATATGTTACTGTGGAAATAACCTGTCAGTTCGGCTTTCGCGCGTACGATCTCATTGTTCTTCGTCATCGTCTTCATCTAGTATTGGCCCCAGTGTCATGTTGTCACAGTTCCCTTCTTGGCAAGGTCCGCATGCGCTTGTACAATCAAGCCCATGTTTTTTACAGGTACATCTTAGCGTGTTACAACCAGTGGAACAGTTGCAGTGGATCATTTTGAGGAGAACCTCGGGAGCATGGTCCTTATCCATCATGATCGGAATGAGTTTGTCCACTTGAACTTTAAATCCCCAGTCGTTAGAGACCATGTCCTCACTTATGCCCATCCAGACCATAACTTGGTAATGCGTCCTCAGCGAGTGAAATCTAGTGGCAGAAGCAGTTGGCGGAAGTCGTTCAGGTGTGACGAATGTCTTGGCTCTTGAAACTTTCTTACAGAGCGAATTGTACTTAAGGGTTGCGAGAGATTCGTTTTGATTCCCATTAAACAATAAAACCATTGCCTTACAGCCAGCACTTTCAACGGTATCTCGATCTTTGTCTGGTGAACAAAAAATCTTTGAACATGTACGAAACACGGATTCCCCCTTGATAATTTTTTGAAAAACGGATTTTTTGCCAATCCCAAAGATTCTTGAAGTCGTATCGCAACCTGTGAACGCATGAACAAACAGCAGATCAGTACATAAATCATCACCTAATATCTGTTTCAGAACATTGATGTTGTACACATATTGTTTTGTTTTATCCCCGGTTTTATCTGAACGGAAGTAGATCTCATGGCTGTCCTTAAGAGTCGCATGATACAGAAGGAGAATCAACAAGTCAGTATCTTCACCAATGAGCGTTGTAGACTTGTACCCAGACATCGAGACTGCGGCCTTTACTATGTCCACGTCTGCATCTCCCTCAGCTAGGATGACATGGCAGCCTTTCTGCTTCAAGCATTTTGCGATCAGACCAATCATAGCCTGTTTGTTTTCCACATTCGAGAGAAAATCCTCTTTTTTCCCGACGAACTTAGTAGCATCCGATATATTAACCTTG